GGGAGGCTGCAGCATCCTCACAGTTTCGGTCAGCTTTCTGCTGCTGTGTCAAAACACCTAAAAAAGTCACCCAGTAGAAGGAAAGATTTGTTTTGGATCACAGTTTTAGAGATTGTGGTCCGTGATCACTGGCTCCTATGGTGAGGCAGTGCATCATGGTGAGGAGTGTGTGCCGGAGGTAGCTGCTTACCTCATGGCAACAAGGAAGTGAACAGTGAGAGAGGAGGGGCCAGGGTCCCAGTATCCTCTTTAGGTTACACCCCCAATGACCTCACTTCCTTCCACTAGGCTCCACCTCCTAAAGGTTGCACCACTACCCAGTAGCCTCACAAGCTGGCAATCAATCCTTTAACATATGAGCCCTTGGGGAACATTCCAGATCCAAACCAGGGCAGGTACCAAGATACAGTTAGATGGCAGGAATAGGTTCTAGTGTTCCACAGAGTAGCAGGGTAATTGTAGCTGCAGCAATTTATTGTATATTTTATAAAAAACTAAAACAGAGGCAGTCAGAAGATTGCAACATGAAGAAATGATACCTGTTTAAGAAGATAGACATGCTAATTACTTTGATTTGATCATTATACATGTTTTGAGTTATCACTGTACTCCATAAGTATGTAAAATTATTGTGCCAACTAAAAATATGTGACTATTTTGAAATCACTCTACAAACACACACAAAACCCAGCAATATAAATATGGAAAAAATTGTTGAATCTAGGTGGTACCTGTCTGGGTTGCTCATTTTATCATTCTTTCCTCTTTCCTATATGTTTGAAAATTTCTGTAATAACATGTTCTATAACATTTCTGTAGCATTACATTCATGTCATTATTTTCCTTGTAAATATACACTCACACAATTAACCACCTGGCATTCCACTGAATATAACCAATTCTCTTGTTGGATATTTAACCACATTTAAAAAATTATATCTAGCATTTGCAATAAATAATGTAATCAGTGTTCTTATATATAAATTTGAAACTGCATCGTTTATTCTTTCCTAATAATGTATTGCTAAAAATAGGGTTATTAAGAAAGAGATGGACAGATTTTTCAGGATCTCTTTGTTTTTTTTTCCAAATTGCTTTCCAAATTGATATCTCCCCTAGGCAGATATGTGCATTCTCATCTCACTACTGTCTCACCTGCATTCTGTGTGCCAATGATGTTGAACCTTTTAGACTTTCAGTGGTACAAAGAGCTCACTAAGGCACATGTGCCAGAGGTTCACCACCACTGACTGTATGCTGTCTTTCTTTTCTAAATGTCAGTTTGATTAGCTTACAAATAATTGCTTGTTCTTAACTTGCATCTTGGATTATTGCTTGGGCTCTTCATTTGTTCACTTGTCATTTGTGATTTGTGGTCTGTCCAGGTCATATAGCCTTTGCCAATTTGTCTGCTGGGGTGATTTCTCCTTAAATGTGTTCTAATTGTTCATTTTCATTGCAAACATTCAGCTCAGATTGTCAGCCATCTTTTAATGTTGCTGACAGTGTATTTGGATATACAGAAAATCTTAATTTTACATGTGAAATTTGACATGCATGTAAATTGAACAGTTCTCTATTTTTCCCCCTTTTATGTCAGCTTCATCCCCTCTTCCCACCAGCCAACACGGAATGCTGTGGGAGGCAAGAGGGTCCGCAGGTAGGAGTAGGAGCTCAGGTCCCACACACCTGGGCTTAGATACCATGTTTACTCCCTACTAAATATATGACCTTTGACCGATTTCTTAATCTTACTGGTCACAATACCTTGCAAATGGAAACATATTTGCTGCGGGCCAGACCTCAAGACAAAAGACTAAACAAATACAGTCACATACCTCCCTAGGAATGGACATCAGGGATTGATATTCTAAATAGGTAGATCACCTTGAAGAGTCACTGACCCAACCCCTTACAGGAAAAGCCCCTGTTCTGTATTCAGGCCCTCTCGCTACGTGACTTGCTTCCCTATTTGATCCCGATTTAATCAATTTTACCTGAACAATTCTTATCGGCTGACCGTAGTTTTGTCCCATCTCATGCCCACCTCGCCATTTCCCATTTTTTCCCCCACCTTGGACCCACCTCACCTTTTGGTTTTGCTCTATAAAATCCCTAGGAAAGACAGAGTGCTCGGCAACTCACTCGGGCTCCTTTCTGTCCCTCTCTGGGACAGAAGCTTTCTTTCCCTCAATAAATTCTGCTCTTAACCTCAAAAAAAAATCTTACTGGCCACAGCTTGCTAATCACTGAAATCAGGATGATGAAATTATCTGTGTCATAGTGTTGTTGTAAGGAGCAAGTATGCTTAGTACAGTTCCTGATGTACAGAAAGGGCTAGGTAAGTATTTGCTTTTATTATTGCTTACTGCACTGAGCCTGGGAAGTCCCACCATTTGGAAAGGAATTTTGTTTGCAAAGCTAATTCCTTATCAAGAATTATCTTTTTTCTAAAGGAGAAAGCCGAGTTTGCCAAACCTGTTACAAAGCTGGTCACTCTGTTCTCATAACTTGTACTTCAAAAGATACGGCCCTATTTTATTTTTGTTAGATATTAATTATAAACAAGCTACTTATGTGCCCCAGGTACCACTGTTCCTTTGAGTCCCTTAGCCTGACCTGTAGCATGAGACTTAAGTGTGTGATTGAATAGCCTAAGAAAAGCACAACTTTGCTTTGCACAGAAAAGCAAAAACTAAGAATTTGACATCTTTCCCACTAGCAGATGCGTGTCCCGTGCCATGTGCCAGGCCCCAGGGACTCTGTGGTATGTCGTCCCCATCTGGAGCTGTCTCAGTCTGCTAAGGCCCCACCTGAGCTTGGAGCCTGGAACAGGCATAGTTAAGTTGTGTTCCAGATGGTGATGATAGTGACTGGAGTGTGACTACCTAGCTTTCCTCAGCTGCAGCCTGTTTTCTGACCCTGTCCTCTGGCTTTTGGACCCTGCTGCCCCACCATCATTCCTGTCTTTATTTATGAGAGCCAAAACTGGTTTCTTTTGTTTTGTTTCTTTTTTTTGTTGTTGTTCACAACAAAGAACTCAGGTCCTGGGATCTGAACCCAGGCCTTCGCACTGAGCTATCTCCCCTGCCCTTTTTTTTCCTTCCCTGAGAATAGGGTCTTAGCACGTTGCTAAGTTGCCTAGGCTGAGCCCAGACTTGCAGTCCTCCTGCCTCAGGCTCCTGGAGTGCTGGGATGCACCACAATACCCAGCTATAATTCCACCTTGAAGGGAAACCCTAAGGAAATCGTTAGGAATTCAGAGGTAGATTTTGTCACAAAAAGGCTCATGCAGAATTTCTTCCTATAAAACATTTACAGATTGTCCAGGTGGCCAACAGTAGGGAGATAATCATACACCCATATGATGGAATACTTTGAATCCAATTTCTTAAAGGCAGCTTTAGGAAAAATTGTGAGAAAAAATATTTTTTCTGTATCTTTCTTTCCACCAGGTAAAATGCATATTTTTCTACATTCATAAAAATAAAATCACATCATAGAATTTAGAAGGTTTCCCGTGTTTCTCCTTTGAGCTATTTGGTGTGGCTAAAAACACCTCTGGGACCTGGTAAACCAGGGTTCACTCCTAGGTCAGCTGTGGAATGGGTCAGTCATTCCACCTGTTTAAATTCAGCTTCCTCATTTGCAAAATGTTCATCAGACCTTGATTATTACAGCTGAATAAGTGCATAGGCTCTGGTGCTCTGTTGCATAGTAGGGGCTCTGTCATTAGCAATAATACATTTCAACATAGCTAGGGAAAAGGATTTTGAGTTTTATCACTGCAAAGAAATGGTAAGTGCTTAAAATGATGGACATGCTAACTACCCTGATTTGATCATAACCCAACATATACATGTACCAAAATAATCACACTGTACCCCATAAATATGTGCAATTATTATGTGTCAGTCAAAAATAAATAAAGTAAGCGGGGCATGGTGGTGCACACCTGTGGGAGGCTGAGGCAGGAGGATTGCTGGGAGTTCGGGGCCAGCCTGGGATACATAGTGAGTTCAAAGCCAGCCTGAACAACAAAAATTAATAAAGTAAAAAACAACAAATATGTATCATCTTCCTTATAATGTTTGGAACAGAGTGAGTGTTCAATAAATGATTATCTATTATTTTTACACATTGGTATTTTCCAGGGTTTGCCATGAAATGTATATAAACTTGAGAATAACTGAACACTCCAAAAGAGTCAAACATTGCTGCAACGGCTAGTCACGTATTCTAGCTTCTTGCATCAGCCTGTTTGTTCCTGTGAGCCTGGCAGCTGCACCATGTCTGGTCTGTTCTCGGGCCTAGACCAGCAGTCCGGGTCTGAAGTATTCTTGTCAGTGATGATGTCATTTTGCCCTGTGTTGTTTTGCAAGTGACCCAAGGGCCTATTTTAAACAGATAAAATGCTTCCTTTCTCTGAAATTTTCTGACCTTTGAGCCTTTTCCACAATGTAGTTACCAGTGTGTTCTGTCCTATCATTCAGCCAGATTCTCTCCTCCCTTCCCCATAACAATCTGCAGCTCCTTCTTTTCTTGGAGTATGGTTGCCATTTTTCTGTAGCCTATAAGTTCCTGTAGTTCAACAGCTTTGGAGTACGGGTGCCATTTTTCTGTAGCCTATAAGTTCCTGTAGTTCAACAGTTTTTACCTCCCACACAAGTGGCTCCATATAGAATGAGCATTCTGAGGGGTCAGTGACTCTTCAGTGCAGATTTGAGTGACCTGTCATTAAACCTCTGTACCGTCTCTGTTCTTGTTCCTGCCTTCCTTTCCTAGAAGACGGGAGCAAGGAGAGATGGAAGGTTCTTCAGAGGGTACTGCCTCACGCTGGGGCCTCCTTGGAGAAGTTACCAGAATTCTGGGGAACACCAAGAAGACTGGGCACCTGCTCCTCCTCGGACCAAAACACCCTCAGGCTCGGCCATGATGCCCTGAGAGTGAAAGTACTGTGCTGGGCCTGATCTGACCCATCCCCTTCCTTCCTTTTGCAGAATATGGGAGATGTGAAGCTGGTTGCCTCATCACATGTTTCCAAAACCTCCCTGAGTGTGGATCCTTCAAGGACTGGCTCCGCACCGCTGATGGAGGCCCCTGCTTTCATTCTGCCCCCTCGGAACCTCTGCGTCAAAGAAGGAGCCACAGCCAAGTTTGAAGGGAGGGTAAGAAGCGTGGCTGGATGGGAGGCTTACAGTGGGCTGGGCAGGGCCTTCACTCCTTCTGGAAGCTTTTCTTCAGCAGGCCAGAAATCATAGAAGACTTGGTCTTCTTTTGGGCCTTCATATAACTGAGTACCACTTTGCTCTGTTTCTTTCATTTGTGAAGGATTTTAGTCATTGGAGAACTCAGCAATGGAGAGGGACATATAAGCTGACCATCCTGAGTATTTGGCACTGATGTAGGTTGAGTTCTGTGGTACATGCTGCCTAATCATAGAAGACATGGCCTGATGGCAGAAAGAATCCAGCTTGGATGTAAATATGTGCCCCACATCTGGGCAACTGAGAATCCACTGATTTTTCTCTCTTGCATTTTCCCTGGTGGGAGTATTTGATTAGTTGACCTTGAGCAATGGATGAGAGATGATGGGATGAGACCCCTTGTGTAAGTCTTGTTCTTTTATGAGGCTTCCATTTCCTCTTTTTCAAATGGACAGGACGTGACATTTCCATATCACTTTGTAGGAGTGACAAGTAGGAGAAGACAAGGACATCAAAGAGTAGCAGTAAGACTGCCTAACATTGTGCCCCGTCAGAAAGAAGAAGATTGGATGGGGAGGCTGGGACTGTTGGTGGCCTCTATCACTATGAAGGCTGTTCTGTTGTCCTTATTCTGGTTGCCATCCTCTTGTCTCCATAACAGGAGGCAAAGTAGTGACGGGAAGATGCTGGGTGCTCGGAAATGGCTTAGATAACCATAAAAAGGGATGAAGGGCTGATTCACTCTAGAGTATTGATGAACCTTGGAAACATTTTAAGTGAAAGAAGCTGGTCAAAAGTAATGAATACTGCATGATTTTATATGTACAGATGTCCAGAATGGGAACATGTGTCAAGACAGAAATAGGGCAGGAAGGAGCAGGGGGTGGAGCGTGGTGGCCAATAGGTGCAGAGTTTGTTGTGGGGATGAAAATGGTATGAAATTAGAGTTGCACAACTTCACAGACATAAAACACTGGTTTATAGCCATGAAAACTAGACATTGCAGAAATGCCTTAGACAGCAAAGTTGATCCTATTTCTACCCTCTACAGTTTCTGAGAGAGGAGCTCCTTCCTCATTTCAGGCAGACATGAAGGTAAAGAGACAGTTGGCTTCCTCACACCCCATGCTGCCCTTGCTTTTATTGCTGCCTTTGCGTTGTGCAATTTGGGACCTTTATGGAGTGAGCACTGGCCCAGCAGGCAGCACACCTGAGGTCTTACGTCTTCAGTAAATCTCAGGTTTCCTTATCTGAGAAAAATCAGCTGGGCTTTCTTAGTCTGCAGGGCATGAGAAGAAAAGCTGAATGTAAAAGGAATTTCAGGAAGTCTAAAGGTGTAGCAACACAGCATTTTTTTTACTGAGTCAAAATTAACATATCATACATTTAACTGTTTTAAAGTGAACAATTCGGTGTCATTTGATGCATTCACAATGTTCTGTCAGCCAGATTTCTGTTAAGAGTAACAAAATACCTGAGATGAATCAACTTATTTGGAGGAAAGGTTTATTTGTGTTCATGGTTAAAGAGGTTTCAGCCCATGGTTGGTGGCTTGGCCCCATGTTTTGAGCGTGTGACAAGGCAGACCTTCATGGTGAGGAGCACATGGTAAAGAAAGCTGTTCATCTCATGGTGGCCAGGGAACAGAGAGAGACACAGGGAGGGGATGGAGTCCTAATACCCACTTCAAGGACAGGCTTCCAACTACTGCCCTGATGGTATAAATCAAGCCAGATGCTCACAAAGAAAATGCTACACTTCAAGAATACTGCAGTGAACATTGCTACAGTTTGGGTCTTGAATGACTAAAGATCCCTGTGTTAAGGCTGGGTTCCTAGCCCACAGCACGACTGGGAGGTGGAGGAACCCTGAGGAGGAGGGACCTAGATGGAAGTTAGGTCACTGGATGCAGACTCTGTCTGTGCTTGATGAGCCGGAGTTCGGGGCTACTTTCCACACCCCACCTGATGAGGACTGGTCTAGAACAGTGACTGGAAACGTATTGGTGCATAGTGGCGCAGAGGCAGACTCTCCCAGAGGTGTGTTTGGACAGGGTCTGGCTAACTCCAGGGGAGAAGCTGTAGGAGAAAGTGTTCTGTAAATTAGTGTGCTGCCAATGTGTGTCATTTCTGCAGCAAAGAACGAGATGTTTGCTCCAGGGAAGGACCACCTCCAGTAACCCAGAACAAGGAGGCTGGTTATTTCAATACCAGAGAGAAAGGTGAACTGGGGACATTCCTGTCCTGGTGCCCTCACAGGAGTAAAAAGCAAGAGTTGTTGCCACAGAGTGTTGCAGCTTTGAGCAGCAGTTTCTGGCTATGAAAGACTGGGTCCCCAAGGTGGATCCCCCTGCCCCTGATAACCTCTGCTGATGCCTCATGACCCTGCTCACAGCGCTCTGCCTCCCATTGGACACACAACCTGCTCAGACCAGAACTCAAGGCTTGGTGTCTCCATAGGGCCTCAGATGTGTGGGGACTGGGTTCCTGCAGCTCTTCAAAGCAAGTGTTTTTAAATGGTGCCTTCATTATTCAGTTCTGTCCCCACCGTCCACGTTACAGCCCAGGAGGCCTCTTTCTTTCCACTGCCCACTTTCCTCAGCCAGCTCCCTAGCCCCTCTCCTGAGTTGTAACCCCTGATGAAGGATCTCTAGGACGTGAGCTCCCTCACCCCGAGAAACACAGCGGACACCAGAAGCATGAGCAAGTTACACAGGTTTGCTCCTATCACCTGCAGAGCTGGTGGGTGCAGTGGGTTCACTTGTACTTTTTGCTTTTATTCCTGAAAGAGGCAAACACTGCCTCCACCACCCTATCTGCCATTTCTTCCGTGTATAATTTTTGTACAAAAGCCTAATTGAGCCCCTTCCTGCAATAAAACACCTGTTCCTGTCGGGAAGATGAGAGTGACTTGAGCATCGCCCTCATCTCTGTGGGTCTCAGTCCTGCACATCCTTTAGGGCTTTTTCCACTTCATGGAAGATGCTCCAGACAGCCAGCACATGACCCATTGCCAGTCCCCCTTTTCCATGTTAGAAGCCACTCTGGGAGCCACCTTTGCAGCTCAGAGTGGCCCAGTGACACATTTGAGCTGAACTCATTGAGGGAGCTTCTGGGAAAGGTCTTTCCTTCTGTTTAAAAGGGAAAAAATTAAAAAGGTACCATTGGTGGTCTCTTATTCCACTCCTCCTCACTTCCTACCTTGTGCTTAAAGAACCACTTTTAAACCATGAGGCAAGAAGCCAGCACACTAAGGATTGGTTGGGGGCAGGAAGGGAACATAGTAGAGGGAAGAGAGAGGACCAGCAGCTAAGAGACAAAAACCCTGAGGCTGAAAGACTCCTCATCGTAAGATCTTTGGCTGCAGTTGCTCACACAGTAAATTTTATAAAAATAATTCCTAACTAATGAACACCTCATGAGATGCATCTGGAGTCAGTACCCCCTTAAATGATGGTGTTACATAGGGGAGAAGACATAGCACCAGGAGAAGCTAAGAAACTCTTTCAGAACTTACCACTTTTATTCACGATGCTGGGCTGCAGTATTCTGAGTTGAATGTCGCTGTGCAAGTTAAAACATTCTAGAAGAACTCATGCCTCCCAGCTCTGGCCATTTGGGTTGAAGCAGCCAAACCTGGGCACGGAAGCAGCCATCCCTGTGGAGGTGTGTGGTGAACTAAAGGCTTCACGGAGCAATGCTATTTAATCAGGGCCACTTGACTCAATCTGTCTTGGCTAAAGCTACTTTTTTTTTTTTTTTTTTTTTTTTTTTTGCGTCTGCAAGCCCAAAGCTTAAGAATGGTATATTTTCTGAAACTTACAAGCTTTTGTCTCCTTTTCTCATCAGTGCTGCCTTTAGACCTCAGAGCCCCTGCCTGAGGTCAAATTCTAGAAACCTCCATCCAGCTGTACTCTCTCCTAAGGCAGGAGGTCTGTGCCCACTGGCATCAAACTGTTCCCTATGCACTGGGCACCTGGGATCGAGGACCTCTCTGCCAGGTAGGCCTGAGTATCTCCCAAAGCCTGCATGGACCTCTTCCTTGTGCGAAGTCACTGGGGGCCTGAGTGGCATGGTTAGGGTCATTTGTTTGTGCTGGGGCTCTGTGGCTCAGGAAAACCCCCCAGACAGGAGGTGGGTAAGGTGGAACTGCACTGCTGCTATGAGAGGCACTGCTGGGCCTTGGTGCTCGCTGGGGCTTCTGTGTGCGCAGAGTCAGGTGCCAGAAGTCATGGCTGACTGAGATGCCTTTTGCTGCTCTCTGGCCCATGTGGGTGGCTGCAGTGTGGATGTTCTGGTTTCTCCACCCAAAGTTCAGTATGAAAAGAGTTGGTGGTAGGAAAAATACTGAAATTACTGGAGATTTCTTCCCCTTTGCCCTGGAATGTATTCTTATTAAAAAAAAGAAAAAGAAAAAAAAAAAAAAAAGCAAATGTGGTTACAGGCCCTGACTATACTGCAGATCTGAGGAGCTAATACTTTAGTGCCTTTGTGTGTGTGTGCTGCGGGAATGGAACCCAAGGCCTCACACGTGCTAGGCAAGTGCTCTAGATGCACCCTCGGCACACTTCAGTGCCTCTTGAGGTTTCAACCTGACTGCTGGTCCATCACTGACAGGAGTCTTGGGATAAACCTGGCCTTCTCAAGGCGTGTCCATGTATAAGGTGTGGAGAGCAGGAGAAGGGAACATAAGGAGACCTGACCCAGAAAGGTGGGTGATTCCTTAGTTTCCACTTTAGCTGGCAGGGGTATGTTTCTGCTGCTCTGATGAAACACATGAGACTAACAACTTCAAGGAGGAAAGGGGTTTTTGGCTTACAGTTTCACAGGTTTCAGCCCCTGGTCAGCTGATTTCATTGTGTCCAGCCCTGTGGTGAAGAAGAAAGCTGCTCACCTTATGGGGTCAGAAGCAGAGAAAGACAGAGAGACAGAGAGGAAGAGGATGGAGGCCAGATGTAGGCC